TGCAAAACAAATGGGAAGAGAAGATTCACAAGAGATAAATAATATGACTCAAAATGCCGAAACATCCAATTCATATATTGAATCAAAATAATAGAGGTGCACATCTGCCCTGGTTGCATGTAAGGCGTCCACAAGAAGAATAAAAAGTTGGATAGTCAAGTAGATAACCCTATTCATTATTATCCCCCTAAAGCAACCTGATTAGAATGTCTCCAGGAAGTAGTTTTAAACAAAATTATATTCTTAATGGTGAGAGCTAACTTAGAATGATAGGTGATTGCATTTGCCCATGGTTTAGCTACTTTATACTATTTTAATAGGCAAGTAACTATTACATTATAGAATGACTTCTTATTTGCTTTATTTTTTAGATTTGAAATCTTCTTTGGAAAACACTTCTTGAAATTTAGGGGTGTCAAATTTTGACACGACACGAAACCTGACCTAGACTAACATAGAAAATTCGGAGTTCCGGTCAACCCATTTGTCATACGGGTCGGATTTGATAATTCGACATGATTATAAATTTGGGTCGGGTCCGAGTTGACCCAAAAACTTGAAATGACCTAGAATGCCGCTCACCCCGTCGCCTTCCAGTTCACCCTGATGGCCTGACCACGGTCACCGTTGCCTCGCTTGCCTATAGCCTCAATGCCTCACCTACTCCTTCGTCCCTCCATCCACACCGCACAGTGGTGGAGCCATAAAATTTATAAAAAGAGGGGGGGGGGGTGCGCTAAATTATTTTAGTAAAATTTTCCTTCAATTTTTTCATTCGGGCTTGGGACCAACATATGGAGTTTTAAAATTTTTTTATTAAAAATTATCCAAAAACATATAATATTAAATATATGATAGTGAACAACTTGCAATTTATAATGTATTATCTTCATATTCTGAAACAGTTGAATGATAGCTTCATTATCAATAGAATCCAAAATTTCTTTTTCAACATAAGCAATTAATAAATCATTCATCCATTGATCACCAATCCTATTTTGCAGCCATACAAGAAAATCACATAATCATCCTAGACGATAAGTTATATTTCAACATATCATCCCAATTTATCTCCTGAATGTTCCAAACAATCTGATGGAAGAAAGTGTATGTTTGAACTTATTATATAGGATGATATATAAATCATCCTTGACGATCAGAATAAGCTGTGTTCTAATCATATAAGAAATCCAGATCATCCTAGCTGGAAGGGATGATTTGCAGTAATTATATAGGATGATCTATAGGTTGTCCTGAACAATCTTTGATAGCAAGTTAAAAATTAGGATTATTTTGGAGCTCTTTTATTTAAGCTTAAGTATTCATCATTTGAAAAATCTCTTGCTGTTGTCTTGGCTTGAGAGACCTTAGAGAAGGAGAATGAGAGCTTGGAAGAAAGAGAGAGAGAATCATGTGAAGGGGAGTTTATGAAGGGTTCATAAAGGTTGTTCCATACAAGAATTCAAGTTGTCTTCTCCACTCATCATCCTTAGTTGATTGGTGGTGTTGTAATTGTTGAAACTTAGTTTTCAAAACTACATTTTTATATCATATAATTTTTTTTAGGATTTCAAAAAATGCTCTTTTAACGCCTGCTGTAGCAACGGGTAATACCAATGCCAATTCCAGTAGTTTAAAAACAACATGATATATTATATCCTTCCTACTTTAGATCATTTTCTCAGCAAGACTTCTAACAGTTTTTAATGAGGTGAACTGATCATCAGATCGCATATCCATGCTATAAGTATCCAATTGATTTTCAAGAGCCGCCTGATCAAGAAGACTAAAATCAGTTGGATAAAATTGTATCATTTGAATCAACTTGTCTTTGTTGAATGCATGAAATTTGTTATTAGGATTCAAATATCCCATGCACAACAACAATTCATCATTTACTTATGTAAACCGATTATTCAACTCCTGAAGTTTCATATCAAGCATTGTATAAAAAATTTCAACCCGGAAATGATATAAATTTATTATATCTTGAGCTCTACGGCGTGTCCGACCATGAGCAACCCATTTATCATCCATATGTGGAACATTGATTTTTCATTGCTTATAGAATGAGGTTACCTTACTGATAAAGTCAGTCCACTTGTTATCTCTCATATCCTTTAATCTTTTTTTACATATACGCATCAAAGACATAACATTAATAATATCATATTCTCCTCTCTATAAAGCTTGTGATTGTTCATTGGTTTCATAATATGTAGAAAAAAGGTAAACTCAAAGGTCTATAACGATTCTAATGAATTATATGCCTCACCTTTTTGTTATGAGCTTAAGCCATCTTCCAAAATGATTTATAGAATATCAATTACTGTAGATAACATTGTAATTAATCTTAAAATTGATTCATTGTGTGAACCCCACCATGTATCACCAGCACGCCTAAGGGTTATTTCTTGATTTAAGCCTTACCAAGATAATAAATTTCCACTTTGTAATTCATTTAATGGCTTCTCACGTTGTATTTCTTGCACTTGGTCGCGACGCTTACAAGAAACACCAACAAGATTCATTACACTGAAAATGTTAGTAAAGAAAAAAGCAATATGAACATGACTTTTCGTCACTGCCACCAATGCTAATTGAAGTTGATGTGAGAAGCAATGAATGTAATGTGCAGATTGATTTTCATTGAGAAATAGAGCTTTCAAACCATTAAACTCCCCTCTCATATTACTAGCACCATCATAGCATTGACCCCGTATTCTACATATGCTCAAACCATATATTGATAGGAGTTGTTCAGTCGCCAATTTAAGACTATTTGCAGAAGTATCTGATATATGAAAAATCCCCCAAAAATGTTCCACTATATTGCCTTTCTTATTAACAAAACGAACTATGATTTCCATTTGCTCCTTAGCGGATGTGTCACGTGATTCATCAACTAAACTGAGTAAAATTTATCACTAATCTCCTCAGATATAAACTTTGTAATAGCAATAGCGAATGCTCTAGTAATATCTTTTTGAATATCAGGTGTAATTAACTTTAAATTCTCAGGAGCATTCTTTAAAACCACATCGTCTATGTCTTTTGTTATGTTCAGCTAAAAATTATATTAGTTCAAGAAAATTACCTTGATTTTTGGATGTAGAAGACTCATCATGTCCTCGGAAAGCTAGCCCTTGCTTCAAAAGAAATCTTATACAATCAACAGAAGTATTGAGGCGGAAAAGGTATGTAGATGTAACTTGATATGTTTGCTTTTGGAACACAAACTCAATATGTTGACTCTATTTCAATAGGTCTTCAGAACTACGTCTAGCATCATTATGCGCACTATTATGACCTCCTATATGAAGATCAAATTTGTTAGTTTTTTTCCAATTCGAATATCCATTTTTATTAAATACTTCTTCATCTTCATTGCCTCTACCTACTTTTCTGAACATATAAAAATAAAGATACTATGATTTATCTTTGCTTATGCTATACTTTAGCCAATTAAAATACTTGTCAAACCAAGTAGGATTAAATCGTCTGTCTTTCATCCTGAATTTAGTTTTTGGAAAATCATGACTACGAGGTTGAAATGGCCCTCGTTGTAAATATATTCTCCGAACTTCATCCCGAATATTAGGATTAAAGTCAACAATAGGAATTTGTAGTCCTGGATCGGATGGAAGATTTTCAAAACTTAGTTCTATATTATTGGGTAAATCAACATCCACTCGAATACACTTTTCTTTATGATCTTCAACCTGATTGTTATTATCATTTGATGTTTTTGGAATTGAAGATCATTTGAATATCTCTCCATAATATTCTAACTAAAAAATGCCTTAAGATTAATTTGATTATATATTTATTCAAAAATCAATAAATAAAACTTATAAAATCAACCTTATAAATGCAAAGAAACAAACAATAAAACTTATAAAATCAAACAAAATAAAATAGATTTGTTCCTTTGCAAATTCCGGCCAAACATCCCCAAAAAAATTTCTCAGATTTTCACTTTTTCACTTCGACAAAATTTAAGTGCTTGTACTTCAAGAGATTACCGTTTTATGAAAAAGATATATAAATTTATAGCTTGGATATCATATTTTACTTCTAGCAAAAAACTAAGGCATGATCCATCTTTTCATAAAACTAAATTAATATCAATTGCAGGTCATGAGATATCACTCCCTTGTTCTAGCAACAAAATGAAAAAAAAAAAAAACCTCTCGGTAGACTCGGTTGTATTCTGTGACTTCCATCCGAGCAAGTTGGCACAAAAGGAGTGAGAGTCGCGTGTCTAGGTAGGGGAGGAGAAGGCACGTCGTCTCTGGCCGTCGTTCGCCGCGGTCGATCGCCTCGTTGCGAGTCACGGCGTCGCTCGATGAAACGCGAAGGTCATGCAAGAGAGGCTGTGGGAAAGGGCCGAATGAGATAAATCGATAGACCTATTTTATTTTTTTTACTTATTTCACTAACTAGTCAAACCCGGTTCCCCCCTTCCCCCCCCCTCAATCCGCCCTTGACTCCGCACCTCTCTCGTAAGTTGCAAAGTGCAACAACAAACTGTCAAACCCTCTGTCTTCGTAACATGTTGCGACGATGGAAGCAGGAAGCTGATGTTAGATGCATATTTGGCTGATGCGGTTGTCGCCGACTTACTGGATGTAGATGCTACGCCCCGGCTCTCACGACTCAACCGCTCAAGTGTTCGACCTCACCACTCACTTCGTCGCCCGTCGTCGCACTCACCCATTTTTGAATCAAAACGGGTCCGCGAGTTGGGTTGGGTCAACCCAGTAACTTGTAATGGTTGGGTTTGGGTTGAAATACCTGATTCGTTTGCAAAACAGTTCGGGTTGAGCCATTTAGAACCAGGTCAACTTGTATTAGATATGAGTCCGAATTGTCGACCAGTTTTGACATTCCTATTGAAGTCCCATTTGAACCGATTTGACTGAACCCGGTTCACCCACCCGGACCGAACTTTCAGATCAGTCCCTCTATATAAACTGGTCGGCCAATCTTCTGGAAGCTCGAATTATAGTCAAGTGAACCCTGGCCTAGGTCCTCGCAAGGAAGACGAGGTTTAATATGGCGAGCGTCGCGGTGGAGAAGACGGCGGAGGAGCTTCGGAAGGAGATCGCCGAGTTACAGCGTCAGCAATGGGAGGTTCGATTATTTTCTATACATACATATATTTCATGCACTTTGTTTTCCAAATATCACCTATTTTCATGTCCCAAAAGCTTTTATCTTAATACCTAAGCGTCCCGTTTTACACAGATCACTGAACGCCTGCGAAATCCGAGGGGAATTCGACGTGCCAGCGCTGGCGCCGGCACCGGCGTCGGCCCTGGCACTGGAGCTGGCGGACCACGGCTCCGCGGTGTCATTAGAACCGTAAGAAGTTTCTCCTTATCCTTTTTCACCTTCAATTTGGCTGATTTTCTCCGTTCTGTATTCTCCAGGCTCCGGAAATGGAGGAACAGCCGGTTTCTAAGAGGCGACTCTCTTCTGCAGTTGTCAAGGTGGTTCAACGAATCCTTCATAATCGCTGTTTTCGGTTGCTTTGCAATTGTTTTTGTTTTATTTTCATGTTGGAAACTTTTGATGAAGGTTGATGGTGAAGAGAATAAGGATGGTGGTGCTGAAGCGGAAGATCCCCAGGTTCAGGATCCAGCAGTGGAAGTCGGGGCTTCCTCTGGTGGGGAGAGCAGCAAGGTAATGCCTGGGAGTGTTCAGATTAATGAGGCGTTTAGAAGAGATGGTAGTGTCCGGTTGAGGAAGATGGTGAGCCTGAAATTTGATAACTTGGTAGTTTTTGGTAGAACTTGATTTTTGCTGCCAAATGCTGACATGTTTTTTCATCCTTCCAAGCAGGACTATGATGCTATTCCAACAGAAACAGTTCCTAGGGTGTTGCCAAAAGAGGATGACCCAAACTTGGTGAAGAGAAATAGAAGAATGCTTGGCCAGCTGTTGGGTACACTGGAGGTAGTAATGGATTATTTTTATATGTTCAATTGCTTTATTGATGGATATGAAGTTTGTTCTAATGTCCGGATTGATATTTGGCAAATTCTGCTTGATTAATATTTTTTTATTCGCTCCATTTGTAGCTAAAATCGTCTGAAGTTTACTGCTATTAATTTCTGACATGCTATAACCTTATTGTTTGCGGGCGCCTACCATCACATGATACCTACTTTTTTTTTAACAACTTTGAAATTGTAATAGAGATAAAGTTCCATCTATTTACTGGTGTGCATTGAATAAAGCTGTAACTTTAACATTGCATCTCCAATTCATGTCATTTATATGTGAGATTAAGTTAATCTGTTTAAAAGTTGCTTAACAGCGTGTTTTGCTTCCATTGAATATAACTTTTATAAAGAGCTACAACTCAAAAATATTGAACTGCTTGCAATCAATCTTACATATTTCTAAATATATTTTTACCTTTATGGAAGAGACATGAAAAGAGTCCGGAGTAGTATCAAAACAAAAAGTAAATCTTTAAGAGGAGCAATAATTAAAACTGATTCACCACTGAAGGAAAGTATGATGGATATCAGACAAAATGTATCCACTATGTGCTGGAAAGCAAATTAGTTAATCAGCATAGCTAGCAAATGTTCGGTTAATAAAGATGATTTGATCTATGATTATTATGTTTGGACGTAGAAAAATAAACTAGGGATAAGTTAAAGATCTAATATAGAAACTCAGTTTAGGGATTATATTTTGCTTCAGTTGTTTTGAATTGTGTTTTAATGCTTGTGCTAGTGTTTAAAGTGCTAATCAAATAGAGATTTTTTTTTTTGTTTAGAGAGTCCTTACTGATTTACTTTTGTTATATAGAAATTTCGTGAAGAAGACAAACAGCTTTCTTCAACAGAGGCATATATGAGGAGATCAGATTCATTGAAGAGGGTGAGTGCGCTATTTGCTTTATCGACATCTCTCACTGTTGTTTCCTCCAGCTCATAAAGTTCATTGGCCAATTTTTTCTCCATTTAAGTCACATGCTGTGTATGCCATTCTTTGAACGCATTATTAAATCTTCATGCTTCTTATGACATTGATGCATAGAAGTCGCTAGCATATATATATATATATATGCCAATTAAGCCTAATATAGATACATGAAATTGGCTGTTGAGACATCATGATAAAGCGAACATAGGGCGACCTTGCAGAAATGCGGATGACTCATTGTTATGTGGAAGTACCTCATGCTACTGAAACTTGTTGCCAGCTTTTGCTCTGGACATTTGTATGTTACTGGAAGTTACCACTTTGTGGGAATCTTTATCCGACATCTTTTGATATTTTATGATCACTTGTAGGACTGGAGCATTTATGGTTAGAATTATGCTTTTTGAAAGGTCTAAATCTAGATTTTCAAAATGATTCATGACCTACAGAGAAATTGAATGATTGACATGACTAATCTAGTACTTTATGTTCAAGTAAATGATGTATTTTTCCCCTTTGAAGGGTGGATGTGGGGTATGGCAGAGGCATTTTTTCTCTAATCAAGAAACCCTTGGATAATTAGTTTCCTTTAACAAGTTCATTTCATAATCTTAGTTACTTAAATTTATATGAATTAGTTTTAATTGCTAAATATCCATGACCATTGTGCTATTTAGCTTTTAAACTATCAAATCTGTTTTTCCAACCTATATATATGGTCAATTTAAAGTCTTCAGGGCTTCGTTTTAATAATGTTGCAATGCGGAATAGATTAATTATTGCTACTCTAACCTTGATGGATGAGCTACTTTGTCAGTTTGTTGTGCAAGGTGACGAAACTTTGGAGGAAGTTAACGATAAATGTAGGGCTTTTCATTGTAAAATTTCCATTCAAATCAAAATTGTGAAATGCCAGATTTTGAAAAGAAAACCAGAAATAAAAATACATTAAAAACTGGGAAAAAAGGCATTGTCAAATGAATCCTCGTTGTTCCCTTAAATATCTATTTGCAGCAATATTGTTAGATCCCTATTAGAGATCAAAATTTCTTTTTCCACTGGATCGTAGGTCAACATTTTTAACAGGTGTTTTACTCTGTTGACGTTGAAATTATGCTATGATTAATAACTATTATAACCGCTGAAATCCCTAACTTTTGGAAGTGTCTAAAACAAGAAAAAGTTGTGATAAGTCGCAATTATTATAATCCAAAGGACTGAGAAATGGCTATTTACACAAACATTATATTCCAAAGAAATGCCCATTGCAGATCCCCACTTCAAGTCAAGCAGCTGAAACTTGTGGGGTGTACTAATGCAAAGAAATGGTTAATGCCTGGTTATCAAGTGCAATACCACCACCACGTTAATGTAGTTCTTCCTGTGAACGATGATGATATTTTGAATTGTTTGATGGCTGCGAGTTAAGAGCTCTTCAAGTGGCATACAAGACGGTTGGACTACAATGATGAAAAGTATAGACAAATGCATATCTATCAGTATACAGTTTTATATATGTGCCTATATTCATAAAATTAAAAATACAAGCTTCCAGCTATGCTAGCGCACCAGCAAATGTATCTCACACTCATGCAATATTATATTGAACTATTCCTTTTGAAAACTAAAATCAACTTCTCCTTGTGGATCTTCCAATATGGAGCCCTGACATCTTCTTACTGTTTCTGAGTATCCTAAGTATTAAATATTAGAGATGATGACTTTTGAAGAATTGTGCTTCTTAAAAGGAGAGGAGGTGGGCAACATGATGAGGGGTTGTCGACAAGTTTCTAATCTAGAAGAAGAGGATACAGTATTTACAGGGACATGAAGATACCTTATGTAGTTGAGCATAAATGGACCAGATATCATTATGCTTTGTGTTGTGCGATGGAAGCTAAAGGGGAGGGATATTGACTGGAGCTTTGAGAAGGATAGACTGTAAGAGACTTTTTGGTAGAGCAAATATTTGATAGGTTCACAATAAAATCAGTGTCGAAACTGCCTCATTCAACTGTCAAGTTTTTTTTAGTGTGGTTCTTTAGGATTCTATAGGCTTTGCATTTTCTTGAAAAGGTTTACTTGGACCATGTTGGTTGGCTCCTCATTGAACCTGCCTGTCTGGTTGGTTTAACGGCAGTGATTTGTAGTTATGGTTCCATGAAACTCAACACCTTGGATGTGCATTGACATAAAGAAGACACGATTGTGTTGCAATCTTATGTTGTCTTTTGGGAAGCAGAACCTTATATGTTTTATCCCTGTAGGCTGAACAAAAGGCCCGTGAGGAAAGTGAGAGGTTAAGGCAACAAGAAAGAGAACAGATTTCAGAGAAGCGCAGGCGTGATTTGGTAATTACATTGGATCAATGTAACATTTCTTATGGCTTGCAAATTTTTATTTATTGTGTAGTCAATCATGCTTCATATGATCTTCAAATGTTTTATCTATAGACCCTTCGAGCTCGTGTTGCTGCAAAGGCTGAGGAAAAGAAATTGGAGCTTCTATTCCTCTTCTGGGCTGAGCATCACAAGAAGCTCTCCAATTTTTTAAGGTACATGAAACATGGCAAAGGCTTCTAGAAATTTTTCCATTATTTCTTAGTGGTAAGTATTAATATAGCATCCTTCTTTTATTGTCTCTTTTTTTTTTTAGTTTTTCCTGATATGGATTTATACTTGATTAAAGTAATATTGCTATGTCGACTGCAGGTTATTTTTAATTTTGGCCCAAAAGTGTCCTAATGACAATTTTAGTTGAGACAGATAAGTTTCTGTTTCTATAAGTAGTGTTGAAATTCAATGTGAATGAAAGCTTTCCTACATGGTCTTTCTCTAATTTAAATTAGTTTATATATCATTTTATTTTAAATTTTTTCTGGAATTTCATATTCCTCTTTGTTCGGGTTGTCTTTGTCAGGACAAAAACAGAACCTCCAATTTATTACATGCCAGCTAAGCCTTTAGTTGAGGATGCAATTCTTCAAGAGCAGCAGAAGGAACAGGTTATAGTTTTGATTCTCATGTTTTTCTTGGTTGGCTGCTTTTACTCCAATTTTTTAAAAAAGTAGAATGTAACTCTGATTTTGCAAATTTGTGTTCTACCATTTCTATGTTTTGGATATAATATCTCAGATGCTTTATGGGAGCTCTTTTAAAATACTTTTATTTTGAGTTAAAAAGGATATCAATTTTACTCAAAGATAACAAATTGTTTGAAAACTAGATCACTTTTTTATTCAAATTGAGCTCAAATTAAAAGCAACAAGTGAAATCAAAATTGATTTGATTCAGGTTTCAAGGTCCGATCAAAAATTTTGTGCAACTATGAACCATATTGATTTATTCAAAATATGTATTTATATTTCTATTTAAGAATATATTCATATTTGTGTGTATTTATATTTAAGATTGCAAGCAAGGTTAATAATTTGTATTCAATGATAAAAAATAAATTGACTATTACGTTAAATTGAAAATTTATGAGCCCAAGTTGACTAAGTTTGAACCAACCTATATATAGTATTTCCTAATATCTAGAATGCATTGAATGGCTTTGCGTTGATCTTGAGCCTGGATGGATCAACCTTGGAATTGGATATGTTAATGACTATTTTTTATTTTTGTTGAGAGGAAGAGCTCGATGTTAGAGATACTCATGTAGGGTAGGTGTTATTGGGTTGAATCCAGTAAGTATCTTCCAACATCTGAAGGTTATTTTGAATGAACAAATCTTCTAATCTTCAATCTTTATTCAAGTTAAGTCAAGTGTTCTGAGTTGAATAAAATTGTAGGGTTACTTGGTAGATTGGTCATTATTATGAAGCATTTTTCAAGTGCTCACTCATAAACATTCTATGTATGAGCATCCTTTGGGAGTTTGTTTTAGAGTTCTCCTTAAGCATCCACTTGAAAGAGAGTTTGTTTTAGAGTTCTCCTCAAGCATCCACTTGAAGATTTTCAAGAATGTTCATTCGAACTATCTTGTTCACCAATTTAGTGGCTAATCTATTCTAGTACTACAAATCAAGTGGATCTTTTGGTCCATCTTACTTGATTGGATCCTGTGCCTCCATATCTTCTCTATGACCTAATTTAGTCATCTCTATTATTTCGAGATTATGGATTCGTCTATTTTGTTTGAATTGCTCCTTTTGAGATGGTTATGTTTGCCCGCCTTACCATTATCAAACAACTAGAGCCACCTAAATGGGTTGTTGTGGGTTACGGGCTTATGAATCTTCTTACTTTTTGGTTGTGATCATAAATAAGGAAATAGTTTGGTGAGATGCTGAGTTTAAATTCTATTTGGCTTTGATACTTTGCCCAAGTTTGACTTGATTTCTTGTTGACGAGGAATACATCATCAAGAAGGTTTTTGATAGGTTGAAGTCTTTAGTTTATTGATCACCTCCGTTCATCTTGGTACCACTTGTGGGCAATTTGTGGCATAATGATAATGATTGACTTGTTTGTTCTCTCTCTCTCTCTCTCTCTCTCTCTCTCTCTCTCTTTGTTTTTGCTCATCTTGTGAACTTACATTGGATTGGTGTGAACCAAACATGAACTTATGATTCCTCTGGTAGATAAACTTGTACATTAGTGCTATACGACTCGGGCTAAAAAAGTATTTTATTTAACCATTCTTTAAAAGAATGAAAATTGTAATATAATTTATAAAAGAGTTTAGGTTTAGCATTTAGGACTGAAGAATTTTTCCTTGAGGCTTTATAGTTGAGTGTTTGCTTTTGAAATTTAGGTTGACAAGTGCTTGGAGAACTTGATTTTTTTGCTTAGGGTTTTCAAAAGTAACATGGTTAGCAATCACTCAACTTTTGAATTTGTTCAGATTCTCGAATACGTTTGTGTGGACGTTGGAATTTAGCTAAGTTCTCTATTAAGTTGGAGTGCGTTTTTTTTTTTTTTAATTTCATCAACAATTACTCACTGTAGACGATATAACATATGGTTGTTTTTGTTCTAAATTTATGGCATCAATCCAATTATTTATCTCAATGAAAATGGGCTTCTTGACCTTTAAAACGTGAAAAAGTCTTAATATGAGAATTCTAAAAACTGTGATGGAAGGGCTCTGTGTTTTTTACTGATAGACTATTTAAACCTTTTGGAGAGTCATTCGATGATTTTTTTTTTTTAAAGAAATCAAGAAAATGTATTGCAATCAAAGCAGATAAAAAAAAAATCAAAGCAGATTATTCTGAAGCAAAAAAAAAAAAAAAAAAAAAAACCTTTTAAAAAAAAAAAAAAAAATCCTATTGCTCATTGCTCCCATGCTTTCCCAAATATTATTCATTGTTTGGATGTTTTTGAGTAAGAACTTTATGACCATTTTTGGGGTAGTTATATTTTGTGGCATGAAAGTTTTGATCTGATCTGAGATTTTAAGGCGCAAAGGCTATGATTGATTTTTAAGAGATTACATTTAGCTTTTGAGACTTGAAGAATATGCCCATTTGTTATGAGTTTTCATCGAGCTTTTGAGTGCAAGAGATTATGCTTAGTAATTTGATCGAAACTTCTAAGTTTTGGAGGCTTAATCCTTATAAGATTGCACTAAACTGTTGAGCCTGAAGGCTATGCTCCTCAATTGAAGGTTGGCGCAAGCTTTATTGCTTTTCACCTTTGCTAGACCAAAGCTTCTAATTTTTGTAATGATTTGGCTAGCCTTCTTTGGGTGGTGGACATAATTATATTTTTTTGCTTGGTTCTTTTTTTATTTTCTTGAGCTCCATTTATGGGCTTGTCTTCCCTTTTGTTGAAGTTGCCTTTTGCTTCTTCCATCAAAATTTGCAAATCAAGATCATCTTGGATGAAATTCTTGGAATACTCTCCTTGTCCAACCAACTATTGAAGCAAAGACTCTTCTTACTTCTCACGGACTGTTAGAAGGCACGCTTCTTTGTTGGATTTCTATCTTAACTAGTGCGTTCTCCTCCATACATTCTGTCACGCCTAGAGCACAAAATTTTAGTGCTCATTTTTTTTAAAGGTTTTTGTTGAGAGGTAGAGCTTGATGGTAAAGATGGTCGCTGGGTAGGCATTATTTTGTTGATTCAAGAAGCATAATCCAACACATCAAGAGATTTTGGGGGAATCAATCTTTATATTTCCCTTCATGAGTTGCACAATCTTGCTATTATCTACAAATAGAAATCAACTCAAACGTAGTTCTGCATTGTTACTCCTTTTACTTAGTATATTATGACTCTTGCAGTAGGATCCAAGTGAGTTGAACAACCCCTCATTGACACATCACATTTTGATTATTAGCCTTCCCATGATGATCTCCTTAGGAATCATTTTTGTGTCGCTTCACATGTCAGTCATATACATGCAAATCTTTCCTTGGTGGGGATAATGGTTGAGAGGTCTTATCTATGATTTATAGTTCTCAAGCATCTCTTCGAACAGTTTTTATTTTATTTTTACACCTCATGCATATAACCCGACTTAAGTTTCATTTGGGACGGCTTTCTTATAACTTCTGAAATCAACTTTTTAGTACAAAAATTAAAATATGTATTAAAAAATTATTTTAAGAAGCAATAAAAAAGTTGTCCCAAACAAAATCTTAGTCATCTGGGTCATCCAAAAGAACCTTTGAGATTATGGCTTTGCCTGTGTAGCTCATATCTTTTCTCAAGAAGCGCCGCCCGAAGTATGGTGGATATCATTAGATTGATCCCCTTTCATGGAAATTATTATTGTTAACTGAATTTATTTTACAGTTTATATACAGAACAAGAAATAAATTATGAGGTTGGCCACTTATTGCAGGCTTTTCAAGAATGGAAGTCCTTGCGAAGAGCAGAGCTGTCAGAGTACCAGAAGCAGATCGAAGAGAACTATATCTCCAATGTGGACAAGGAGCTTGAAAGGTGGCAAAATGCGAGGAATGCGAGGAGATCAAACAATCTGGCCAATCTCCAGGAATCCATGGATAAGGAGCTTGAGACACACAGGTTAGTACATGGTCCTAAGACAAGGAGGATTTCTGGAGGCAATGACGAGGACGAGGATGTTGAGGACATTGTTATTGAAGACGAACTCTTGGACGAGGTCCTTGAGCCACATGACAGGCCTGAAGCCGATGCAACAAAAATCCCAGAAATAAGTAACGGCGGTTCTGGTCCAGCTTGAGAAACCACCAGAAACAATATTATTCTTGCATTCGTAATGATCTTACCGCTTAACTTTTACCGTATTTTATCTTTGATTTCTTTATGTTTGATACGATGAAGTGTTTTCTCTAGAAATCTTATGTGCTTGAAAGTAGTATATTATAGTGTTTTTGTTGTGTTGCTTGTTGATGTTTTTATGGAAGGTTATATAACAGCTTTTTCAGTAGCATGACCTCTTTGTTTTCACACTTGTCTATTTTTTTAACTAATTAATACCCTTTTAATTTTGACGATTTGTTCATGTTTCCGTTAACTTATTGACTTCAAGAGATTTGAATGTTTAATTGTATTTGAATTTTGAGTGCGGTTTCTCATCAGATTTATCAATGTTCAAAGAAATTCTAGGAAAAAAATTGGGCGTATTCAGTTGGTTGTGGAGCATCATTTACATATTAGTATTTTTTTTATTAATTTTAAATGTAAAATGAAATAATTTTTTTGTAATTTTGTTAAAGTTTAGAGGTTGTCTGGAATAAATTTTTTATTCTTTGGTTTATTTTTTATTTGATTTTATTTATATATTCACATTAAATAAAATATATTTGATGGTGGAGATTGTTGATGAGTCAGTGGTGAGAGATTATTACATGCGGAGTCTGGACGCATAATAGTTCAATTTTGTGATTGTGAATAGTAAAAATACAGTTACTGTTCATTACTGCGCTTTTATTGTTCATTTATGTGCTTTTATTATTCATATTCAGAATGAAGTAGTTTTAAAATCAAGTTTAAAAAATAATTTTATTCTAGAGATTACACTTCCTCTTGACAGTATTGCACCCTAAATAGGTTAAATGGTTTGTCAAAACTTACAGATGAGAAGTTTAACAAAAGAGAAGGTATCAAAATACATGCATAAAAAATTCTTGGTGGTATCAAATTTTTTATATTGACATGAAAATTTTAGTTTTAATAAACTAGAAAATTTTTTGTTCATACTCTTATGAGCTTTCGATCGAGGCTAAATCAAAATTTGCATGAAATTAGAAAAGACATGTAATTTTTATTTTGTAATAAAATTAAATAAATCAATCAATTAAATTAAATATTCAAAATAAATGTTCATATGATAAGTATCACTTAATATTACAACTTAGAATTTACAGAAAGTAAAGTAGGTAGATATTACTAACAATATGCCTGAATTTCTAGTCTTAAGACACAAGTGACTTTAAGAATGGATTCTTCCCGTTCTTCACTTCTCGTCCTTCTGCGGGCTCCTTGTGTTCGTCGGGTCTAGATATCCAAATGAAAAGAAACTCTCCTTTGAATGTGGTGTATTTTTTTTCCTCTTTGGATTCTCAAAGTATGCTAATCTGGATATCCAAATGAAGAGGAAGAAGGACTACCCTAGGGAATGACACCTTTCTCTTTTGATTCCAGATTGGATATTCAATATCCCATTTCAAAACACTTTTACAACATTTGATTACAACTTAATTACATTAAATTACATTTGAATGAAAATTAAGATCTAGACTCGAACAATATATAGGGTTATCCTAAGCAATTATAATTAAATCATCTCAAACAATTAATATTAATAAAAATTAAAATATTCAAATCATAACCACACTTGATCATGCTCGTTTAATTTTTAAAGGAAGACTTAGTATGTGCAGCACCTGCAAAAAAAAATATTAATTTAAAGCTTAATTTTTATTTTATCCCCTTTAATTTTTATGCCATATATGAGCATGACCATCTAAATAAGATTATGTTAGCATTTAAATCATCCTTAACCTAAGGGTAAATCTAACGCCCATTAGATCAATACATAGATCATAGAAATTAAATAAACAATCATATCAATATATACTAGCAACCAACGTGTAGTGAAAAACACAGAAAACTTGACACAGAGCAGAAAAGTAAATACTGGCATAACCTAAGAATAGAGTTGGTTATCTTAGCAAATCATCTAAAGTGTGTGAGGTAGGCTGTGTGGTTTGGATATGTCATACATATGTAGCGTAATTAGTTAAAGTTATTTGATGTTCTAGTTGGTTGAATGATTTAAGGAAATTTTAATTAAAGTTTAAATATTAATAATTTAGAATTAATTTTAAGATGCATTTTTAAAGTAAAATGACTACCACCTTTATTGCTCACCGGGGCTATGAAGTTTATTTCACATTTGTTGGGGCTAAGTTAATAGCCTCGTAGGCCCGAGTTATTAGTGGTAATCAGTAGAATTAAGTGAATTAAATTGATTAAGATTTGAAGGTTGATGAATTTTAATTAGGATTGTTTGGTTGTTGGTTTTTAAAGTTGGATTAAGGTTTCTTGGATTTTTAGCTTAATTATTAAATTTTAGAATTATTTGAGTTATTTAAATGCATTAATTAAATGAGTCAAAATTTGACATTTAGATTAAGATTGATTTCTGGATAGTTAAAATTTTTCTTAAATAATAGACCTTAAGATAAGCAATTAAACTACTTGTTTGATGGATTTGAATTTTTATATTTAGTTATGAATTTTTAAAGTTTTAACTTAAATTTTGACTTATAGTTGATCAAATTATCGACTTTTTTATTTTAAATTATTTATAGTAGTTTGATATTTTTAATAAATATTAGATCCCAAATAGAGTCCATTGCCTTTGAGTTTGCTCAATTTGAATTTTTTTTAGAATTAGTTATACTTTTTAGAAATTTGATATTTATTTGAATTATTAAAATTTTATTAATTAAGGACTTTTAATGATTTGAATCCAAATGAACTCCAAACTACTTGAGCTCACCTTCAAAGATCAGAAATGATCTAAGGAGATGTTATCATGTGTTTGAGTATTTTTTTGTGTGGAAATTTTCATTATTTTTAATTAATTAAATTAATTAAATACTGATTTTTAATTAAAATTAAATTAATGTTTAAATTAGAATCGAGTCAAGAGGCTTTCATTTATTGAGTCCGAAATTAAACTTTAATGAATTTTGTAGAAAAAGTTTTTGAACCACAATTTTAAAACAGTAAATCACAAAAATAAAAAGTTGCGAAAAAATAATGACACTAGATTTATAGTGGTTCGGTCAAAATCAGACCTACATCCGCTCCCCGGAGGCACCCTCCGAGTATTGCACTAATACCACTAGTGACTCTTCTTTTGCACCCACAGCAAGGCGGAGAAGTCTTTACAAAACTCTTTTCACCACTAACCGGTGTGGCAGAGAACCATCGTCCTTTTACACTATCCCCAGTGCTGGCAGAGAACCATTGTCCTTTTCACACTATCCCCAGTGTTGGCAGAGAACCGTCCGTCCTTTTACACTATCCCCAATGCTGGCATAGAACCGTTCGTCCTTTCACACTATCCCCAGTGCTGGGCAGAGAACCCTTTGTCCTTTCACACTCTCTTAGTGTGGGCAGAGAACCCTTCGTTCTTTCACACTCTCCTAATGTGGGAAGAGAACCCGTGGCTGTTCACACTTTCCAAGTGTCGGCAGAGAACCAGATCTCCTTGACAGATCTTCTCACAAGAATTCTAGAAGGAAGAAAAAAAAGAGTGAAATAATCCCAAATCACAAGTAGAGATTCTTACATTTGAATACCAAGCGAAGCCTTCATGCTCCAGTGGTAGGAATCCTCCTTTGAATGCACTCTCACACTCTCTTCTTGACTCTTCTTTCAATAGGCACGAAGATCAATGACAAAAAAGATTGGGTGGTAGTAAAAATTGGACCTTATATAGGAGAGACAAGAAAAACCATCCAAAAATTGTAAATATTCAAGTCAACACGAAATGGATCGTCCCGTATGATCGTGGATCGTTCTGGACGATTTTACTTAAAGTGTCCGAAATGATCCTAATGAATATTGGTACGAACTATATTCGTACACGATCATCGTCCCGTACGAACTAGGTTCATCCGGACGAACAGTTATTTCATAGGTCAGTTCCCAAATTTCCACAGGATGTAACCAACTTACTTAAGTTGGTTCCCATCGTCCTGGGACGAACAGGACTTCGTCTGGACGAAATTTTTTCAGAGGGCAACTCGTCTTGGCACGATTATGAATTTCGTCTGAATGAAATTTTTACAGAGAAGACTTCGTCCGGGGACGATTTGAATTTCTTCTGGACGAAATTTTTACAGAGCCCAAGTCGTCCTGGCACGATTATAGATTTCGTCTGAACGAAATTTTTACAGAGAAGACTTCGTCCGGTGACGATTTGGATTTCGTCTAGACGAAATTTTTACAGAGCCTAACTCGTCTTGGGACGAAAATAATTTCATCCTAGACGATCAGGACTTAGAAAAATTTCCTCCAACTACTATTCGCATTGCTCTTACTAGTTGATAACTGACCTGATCGTTCCGTACGAACTAGGTTCGTCTCGTATGATAAGTACAAATTTTGTAAGATCTCCTTAAGTGTGTGTGTGTGTGTGTGTTTGTTTGTGTTTTTATTCACTCAATTACAATTACTCCCTCTCAATTTAAAGAACAATTTAAAGCTTCAATTTACAAAGGATTGTATGCTGAATTTGATTTGAAGTCTTCATAGTTTGGAGTTCGATTTTCCTGAAATGTTAGTACACACAAGAGCAAAAATAAATCTTCCAAAAAGTGTTAGGAGATAACTACACATAAAACAATAATATTTGGAATCATCAAAACTATACAAGTTGCAAGAATGTAAAACATGCAAATTCCAACTCTCTTAACATCTAACCCTTGAACAAACATATATAAATGCACAAACATCACATTCTAGTCCTTAGAACTAATGGTGCAAATGAGTTGAGTCGAGCTAGAGCTAGGGGGTATTTGAGTACAACTTGATTGCTAAATATTGAGCTCGACTTGTCTCATGAAACAAATTGAGTAAAGTAGCTTATCGAGCTCCTTCCCGACCTGTGTCGTTTGCAGATAGCTACATCGTCCCGAGCTATGTTGACCTTAGTCGACCATTGTTCCGTCAAGCTACGTCAAAGCTACGAGCTTGTGTTCCCAAGCCGTGACCTCTGTCGTTTGTCGTCCCATCGAGCTTAGTTGAAGCATGCGATCTCTGAGCCTCTAACCATCATTGTATCAAGCACAATCTCTACATCGTTCCTGGCTCAAAGCCCGCATCATCCCACCGGCACAAGCTCTACATCGTCCATGGACAGCCCCCGCGTCTTCCCCTTGGCGATTTCATTTTCCCTGCATACAAAATCTGATTCTCAAATCCCACCT